GCCCATAAAGGGAAAGGCCTGAAAGGAACCCTTAAATGGGACTCGTTCCAGGAACCCCGAAGCCCTCAACCCTAAACCCTAACGGCCCTAAACCCTGGGCCTATAGACCCTAAAGGCCCTGAACCCTGAGCCCTAAACGAACCCGAAGCCCCCTGTGGGCGATCGAGAGGCTGCTCCGTGCATCTTCCGGCCCACTGGCAAGGCCGCCTCCGCTCCTCAAGTACGGTTCTCGGTTCAGGGTTTAGGGTTTTCGGTTTGTTAGAGGTTTAGGGGTTTAGGGTTCTCGGTTTTTCCCACCCCAGCTGACTAGGTCGCACCGCAGGGAGCTCGTCCGAAGGCACTTTAGCGCTACACCGATAGCAGAGGTCACGGGTCGGTTTAGGGTTTAGGGTTTTCGGTTTAGGGATTAGAGGTTTAGGGGTTTAGGGTTTTCGATTAAGGGGTTTAGGGTTTATAGGGTTTAGGGTTTAGGGGTTTGGGGTCTTCTTTCTTGCCCCTTCAGGGCTCCTTTAAAGGGTTCGTACTGTTGATGATACTGCATTACCTTAAGGACCCTAAACTATGGGAATTCTGGTATATTCATTCTTATTGGTATGGGTAATGCAGGATTTATATCATCAACCGTAAGATCAGGAGTGGAATGCCCCGGCATTGACCCAGGCGCGAGGCGTCAAAGACCGTTTGGACAGACCTCGCCCCTCCGAACAGTATGTTTCGGTGAACAAGGTCTGTTGACAAAGTCAGAAACATCCGCAACCCCAAACTAAACCGTGAATCCTCTTGAAACCCTACAGCTAATACAAGCCCTTCTGACAAACCACTGAAACGCCAAACGGCCGCATAAAAGCAACACACGAAACGACAAAACCTGAACCTGAACCGTACCACAATCGCGAGTTCTTTGCTTGCAGCTGCGCCTCCCTCTTCGCCCTCGACAGGCCTCACGAGATTCGCAGCTACTCTCTCTTCAACAAAATCTCAACCTGTAGAATCAACAACCTGCTGTTGTTCAAGCTTGTGCCCCGTGTTTTTGGAGGCCATAGCGCTACGTAGGGTCGAGGGTGACAGGAAAGGGGCCTACACAACACGTACTGCCATGGTCAAAGTCTAGGCCTCCTTATTCGCTTGGTTGGAACCCTCGTGGCAGGAATTGGGAGGTCATGTGGGGGTCCCGGTTGATAGACTCCTTGTTGCGTGTAGGTCTGTTTGGCGAAAAATCGTTGCATGATAAACCCTTTTGCAGCAGGCCTCGTTGTCCAGCAGCCCGGTCCGAGCGAATCGTCTTTGCATGATAAACCCTAAACCCTAAACCCTATGGGGCATCCCGGAAAAGTCTGCCCAGCTCGCCAGGCCGGCAACCCGATACTGGCCCTAAAGCCCCGAAGCTTAAGGCCCTCGGTACATAATTAGCGTAGGGTTCGGTTTGAGGGGTTCTAGAAATATCTATGAAGGTTACTATATATGGGTTTGCTTGTCATATACGTGCCCTCAGCCACTAGCGCTAACAACCGAATGAGAAGCACAGTGCTAGGGTCTTGAGGCTGAGGGGTGTGCCTGCAGCCTCCCTGCTAAACACTCATGCGTCATATCCGACGCTCCGGGTGCCTGAGCCCGAGTCCCTGAATGAAGTCTCCAAAGGCCTGACATCCTCAAGGCAAGATCCACGGCCCCAAATCGTGAACCTTTCTGCTAGGCACCCTCAACCTCCGTTAAGAATCAGACTCTAAACACAGTAGACACTAAACCCTCAACCCAAAAACAACGCCGCACACTCCCTAAACTCGATTCAATTCTTAATAAACTCTCGACAACATGAGCCACAACCTGAACCAAACTCGAAGCCCTTACCCTTGAAGCGTACTGCTACCACACACAAAACCCCCGCAGTAACAATATAGATGATCATACGATAGTAGTGCTAAGAATGCTCCTAGCCGTGCAACAAAGAACTTGCAGTAATAACAAAAATGATAGTAATACTTATAACCATAATCATCGTCAGAATAACAACCCACCAAGTCCTAGAAGCGTGGATCCCAGTCGGGGCCTGGGGACCTGATGTGGAATCGGCCGCAAACCTGTCTGACCTATTCGGAAGAAGTCGCGAAGGGATGGAGTGTCTGCGGGCTCAGAAAGTCCCCTTCTCTCTCTGTCCCTGTCTCTTTCTCTAGGGCACTCTCTATCTCTCTATTTCTCTCTCTCTCTCTCTCTCTCTCTCTGTCTATCTGGCTGCTTGTGTTATAGGAAGCACCACGGAGTGCTTACATCATTCTCATATATGCGGGCCTTCAGTGCCTTGAACGTTGTACGGCATTGAGCGTCCCTTTGCAAAGAGCTACGAGCACTCAGTAGGAGCTTGCTAGTGTTCGCTCGGACACTGTAAAGTAACCCGAATTTCAACAGTCCCGGCATATTTTGGTTTTTATTAGCATCTCGACGATGTCAACCTTTGTGCAGTACATCGGAGCTGTCGGATCAGGAGGTTCGAGATGTTTTGAGCTTGCCCTGGACAGACTCAGGTCTCAAGTTCAGGGTGAGAGGTGTAGGTTTTACTTACCGCTGCCACAAGGTATGCGTTATGCTGCTGGCTTTGTTTACACGCGTGCAAACACGCAGGGCAGGAATTGCCGGTTTTGCTCCTGGTCCAAACAAGGAGCCAGCCGCATCGCCACACACCGCCCGTCGAATGCATTGCTCGGCATCCACAACACACACCTGGAGGCACAGATGTGAGTGCACAACCTCACATCCGACACTCTAAATCGCAGACCGTGCCTCAGGACATCGTTTCTGCAACAGCAGATTCCATCTTAATACTTGATTTAGATGCGGCGCTGTATGTATTGACGTCTGGAGTTCACCTACCTGTGACGACCATGTTTGAAGCTAGTTCGTATATGTCCCTGTTGTCTGTGTTCATGCCCTTGCATACATACAGGTATACCGAAACAATGCCAATTATTTGTGTAATTATAAAAATGTGTGTCACACACGCAGGCATATGTTTGCAGTTGGCCACTTCTGTTGGATGCACAAGCAGTTGCAGCAAATGCGCACATGGTATTCGTGGCGCAATAAATATTGTTGGTAGGGTTTCGGGATATTCTTTGCAAGAAGCACATGGGTTCTACCAGGGAATACTATTCCCAAGCTCTTCCGCCAGAGGCCCTGAATCTTGACACCCTGAATAACCTGACCTCAGAGTAGCTTGGACAGGCTCCAAGACCAGCAGCCACTAGGCTTGACGCCTGTGATGCCATCGAAATCCGTTCTTTGCTGCCTTCTGATTACCATTCCTCTCCTGTTTGGGGAGCTGGGGCTTTGGCATGACTCTTTGAAGCCTCTGCGGGGGTGTGGTGTTTCAATCGGAATGGACATAGCGTTGGACTTTTAGGGGCGAGGAATGTGAGGAAATCCTACACCAGCGCAACGCTGCCTGCCGCCCAGGACGGCGACCACCGCCCGTCAGAAGCAGCTTGCCTGAACGAGCAATCGCCTCCACCCATGACTCGAAACGAAACTTTGAAAGATAAATCCCGAAACACTAACCTTACAAAGACCCAAAACGACATCTTCTTTAGAAGACCCCTGATCCTGCCAAGGGATCCCATCCCTGATCACTAGACCCTTGGGTCCCTCAGTCTACAATAAAGGATACTAATACTTACTACCAAGGGCCTGCTCAAATGCTACTGAGTGGGGGGGGGGGGGGGCTGTATACAAACTAAACCCCATAACACCCTCAACCTCTCAGAAGGCCTTTGAAGCCCCAAACCCGATCCAGGTGAACGTTGAGCACAGGCCAAGACTGAAATCTTCGCCAACCGTTTGGGCTTCGGAGGGGGGGTGTTGGTAGTAGTGGTTTTTGAATGAGGGGTCTCTGATGCGGAAGGGATAAAAGTAGGGATGCCATATAAGAGTCTGATCTTTCTCTGCCTCCTAGACCCTTGCAGGCTGTGTGGTGTCGCCCTGGCATGGCCAGGGAATGGTCGTGGCGGAACCTGATCAAAGCTGTTGGCGTAGGGCTTAGGTTTAGAGTTTAGGCGATTAGGGTTAAGGTGGTGTCCGGCAATAGCAGCACAAGAGCGGCAATGGTGACAACGACAACAACGATATCCCTTTTACTACTATAAACATACAGAAAAAGGCATCTTTGTCTATCAAAACCGAGATATGGGTAGCTACACGTGCATGCATACGTAGACGAACATTTGACCAAATCATGGCCACGCGCATAGTTACAATTCCGAACAGAAGTAAAGCTGATAAGATCCCTAGCAAAACTAATCTGAGCATATCTCTCTCCATCCATCCAATCCATACATACACGAAAAAGCATTCACCCTGGGTTTCGGCTCGTCGGGCTTACCTGGACCCTTTAAGACATGCCGTTTTTAGGGCTCCGTCCTATGATCTCCATTGAGAACTACTCAAAACGGTAGGTTAGTTGGGGCTAAAGTCCGGCATAGGTTTTAGGATTTCGAGGGCTGAGGATTTGTGGGGTCCGGCTCGAGGGCTTAGGGGTGGGGAGTGTAGCGTTCAGGGAACCCTCCTGGCGGCGGTCTGGAAATCTGAAAGCTTACAAAAAGCACCAACATATATACTGTTGAACGTAATCTCCCCACAAGGCGCAGCATTTGACTGGAAAATGGCCCTCAAAACCTCTACCCTAAACCCAAAACTAGGCTTTCCTAGTTCACCCTCAAGCCCCGATGGAGTTCTTCGGCCTCGACTTTGTGCAAGGCCACAGGGTACGATTGAGTTTTTTGCATGTGCATGTACATGAAACAGCGCCTTCGGCCTTCACATGCCCAGAGAGCCCAATACCCCTTAATTAAGGAATATACCTTAAATCATAATATTGAGGCCCCTACAATTTAAGGTATATTCCTTATTTGAGGGGTATTGGGCTCTCTGGGTGCCTAACTTCGCTGACCTCCGAAGAGAAGCAGCAGACCTCTTGCACCCTCAACCGTCGGTCCCAGTAGGGGCCCAGGAACATGTAATGTCCGATCCACCGCCACCCATTCGGGTCCAAATCTAGAACAGCGAGGTCTCCGAAGTCACGAACTCCCCAGTTCCTCGGCAGAAGTGGAAATTATAGGGTTTATTTGGTACACATATCAACTTGTAAATTGTAGGGTGTGCCGCTTTGGGCATAAGGAGGGTCAAGCACTTCGGTTAGTGACTAGTTTGGAGGTCCGGACAATTAGATTAGACGGGTTTGGCGGTTTGACATAAATGGAGTTTAAGGAATTAAGGCTTATCATGACCATTGATCATTGGTCAATCCATGTCAATCCCCAATATCATGGCTAGCTCTTCAAGTGTCGCCAGCACGATGGGTTAGGACCATCATCTCCATTGGAAAAACCGGGACCCTTGAAAATACCAAGCTCAAATTAAAACTCACGTGAGGTTGACAGGGTGAATTTACAAGTAGATCTTGGACCCTGTGTTATGCGTTCATCTCGCTGTACTTTTTTGTTCGAGGTCTGGTCTATCTTCTAACATGCTGTGTTTGTTTGTTGTGTCTTGTTTCTATTGCTTAAAAATGTGCCTTGCTGTTCTTCTTCTGTTCTATTGTTATTGTCATTGTTATCTAATTTACCATTTGCTTGGTTTCAGTGGTTGGTTCTGGTCTCATGTTCGACCTTGTTTAGACATGTACGCCGGTCGCCACTGCAAGCCGCAAGCCTACCCCACCACGCTCGTTTGCTCTTCTATGTCTTGAGTGACACCTCGGTGACCACTGGCTAAGGCCATGAACCCAAGAACGCTGCTGCTTTTTCTGGCCCAGTTGCTCGAGGATGTTGCCTATGCCTCCTGCAAAGCCCGGAAGGTGGTTCAGGGTTTAGGCTCCTCTCGAGTCCAGTAGCAAGAAAAGGTATAACGCAGGATCTGTGTGTCCCACCAGCAACGACAAGAATACCTGCTCTCCCCGTTCTCTTCTACCTGCCACTCTTCCTACAATCACAACTACGACAGCAACAGCGACGATGCTACTACCGCCACTCTACGACTCTTAATGCAACGACTGCCGCTAATACCACCGCCTAGCATTCCTACTACTCCACTCCTACTTCTCCTACTCTACTGCCGCTACTACTGCTGCCGGCCTCCTCCTCCTCCTCCTCCTACTACTACTACTACTACTACTTCTACTTCTATTTCTACTTCTACTTCTAATTCTGCTACTATTATTACTGCTGTTACTACTTCTGCTACTACTGCTCCTGCTACTATGACGACGACGATGACGAGGACGACGACGACGACGACGACTACTACTGCTACCACTTCAACTACTACTCCTCCTCCTCCTGCTGCTGCTGCTATCACTCCCACATGACCAAACCCCCTGGCCACCCCGAATCGCGGAGCCATCTGCCTCCCACGACGACGAGATAACCCCTGCCGTCCACCTCCTTAGATCTGAAGCTGTGGCGTTGGGGCTTCCGGGTATTCGCAACTGGAAACCGTAGGCATACATGTATGATTTCAGAAACTCATACAGCACCTGTATACTTCACTTAGAGCAATATCAATAATAGTATTGCGAAATGGCCGCAGAGCCCTGGAGGGTGCAATGGGTGTCAAAATTCATGGCAAGTTTGGTTTTCACCAAGCTGCGAAAAGAGTGGCGCTGTGGCCGTGGCGATGCTGCATCTGCCAGTCCTCGAGATAAGAGCCGAGGGTGGACTCGGGAGATGCTCCGCCACAGGGGTTGATGCGAAACTCCCGGCAATCCAAACAGAATCCCCAGCAATGCTGCACAAATGCCCTTACTTCTGTTGTGTGGACTCAAGCTGTCCCTCAACCGTAGAACACTCAAACTCCCCTACATGCTCGAAAGCCGTTCAGTTGATGGTGCTGTACCCGTATAACCCTAAAGCCTCAACCCTAACAACGCGAAGACTTGCGCTGAGCCCGAAACCGACCAGCACTCGACTGTTCTTGCTTGCCTCACTCCAATGTTTGTGGAGACCTGGCTTCACCCCTCGCCAACAATACTAGGATATACTATAATATAATATACTGTGATATACAAAAATAGCATGCAGACTAGAGTACACTACGCTATAATGTGTCCTGTGACACCCTTGGGAGAATCAGGAAGACATGTCTGGACAACCTTAACCCTGAGGGCCCCAGTCCAGCAGCTACAAACAGTGGGCACCAAGAAGGACATAAGGGCTGGTCGGCATTCCCTGAGCCTATTCTTGATTACATGACATGTACGGTTTTTTTTGGCCCTACCTAATTATCTATGAGGCCATGTCAAGCACTCCAATGTCAACGGCTAAACGAGGTCACCCGTACCAAATGCCACTACCCAGACTCATCCAACGAAGCCTTTCACTTTAAAACCTACCAAACCCTTAAACCAAATCTTCGACAACCCAAACCCTAAAGACTGTCTATGACCCTTCTAAAACACGCAAACAAATCTTGTCCTCGGGTAGCGCCTCCGATTTCTCGATGTAAGGGACCGCATGCCACTGCCAGTTACTGAGGGACAAGATGTCCTCAGTGTTGGGCAGCTGAACACCATTTGTTGAGTCACGCCCCTAAAGCCGACACCCTTCATCCCTAAACCGCAGATATAATCCTTGAGTCCCCCTATAAACCCTTAACCATAAACCCTAACAGGAAAAAATGGCTTCTCGGAGTGGAGTGAAGGCTCTGCTTCGAGGACAATCGGGGACGGCTAATTGCTAAGAAATTGCATCCCTTGCAAATTTACAGAGTCGTATATACATCAGGTACCATATGCTGATACTATCAGTATAGAAGGTTAGGAGTGGAGCACGGAAGAGTAGTACTGGTTAAGGCTCCTACATATTTCACTCTTTGCCTCTCTCTAAAAACCAAGTCATACCCAGTCCCTAAACCAAGAGGCTTTTTAATCAAGAAGCCATGTTTGCCAGGCTCTCCGTGCAGTGCTGCGTATGACCGCCAAATACCTGGGCCAGAAGCTCCCATTTAGGCGCCTTTAGTTCAAGTACTTGGGGCCTTGCTGCGGGATGTTTTCCCACCTGCCAAAGGGGGCTGTGGGATTTAGAGGTTTTGTTATTTTGCTAAGATCGCTAAGCAGGATCAAGGGACTTAGCACGCTTAGCCTAATTTAGATTGCAGTACCAATATGCTTTCCTACAGCCTACTAACAACGTCCCCGGATCTGACGATGCCCGCGGATCTTCCAAGTTTACCCAGCAGAAAGACTAGAAAGAGTCGGTAGTTGGAGCAACAGCTGGAAGTTTTAATTAGAACATCAGGAAGCCACTTTGAACGAGCTCGATATCCCCCCCCCCCCAAAGTCAGTAGTTCCTCCTTACACAAATTAGGGCTTGATATTGATATTTAGAGTAGGTTGATTACGCAATGTACTAGGTATCCGTGCCAGGTGAGCCCCGGGCCCCGAACAGAAGAGGAATCCGGCAAAGAAGATCCACTAAACCTAATAACAGCCTACCAGGCCTACCAATATTGACCCCGACATTAAGGCCACAACAGACCAAAGGAACGGAAGGAGCCTATTTTGAAGCTGAAAGGCCGGTCCATCAGGGAGTACGGAAACCCTGTCCAGGCGTAGCTTAAGGTTTAGCCCCAAGCCCTACGAAAAAAAACATCGGCTAGGTCATTGAGAAGTCGCAAGAAGATGATTGGCAATCTTAACCCTTAGGGCACCTCACTAGAGCCGTAATGATTGTACAATGTATTCCAAAATCCTATTCCTAATTCAGAAGGAAGACCCTAAATATGACAGGCAGCGGCGACACAGCCTTCGGGATACTCCGCGCCTGCCAGCCTGTGAGTTCGCTGTCGGGGAATATGCTGTGAAAAGAGACCGGCAGATATATACATAAATGGATTGTAAGCGACGAACGAATTAAAGCTGAGATGCTAAAACATTTGTTAAGGTGAACCTCGTTAAAGTGAAGCTTTGTGTGCTGACACTGATACTAGAACTAAGTCACTAATAGTGATATCAGCTGGCCGACCCCTAAACCAGGGATGCATGCTCTCCACTTTCAACTTTCGGACTTTCGGTGAAGTTGAAGTATCTTCCAAAACTCCCTGCGCAATCTGCAACATTACTTGAAAAACGGTGGGTGGCTCTCGTTGGGGGACTCATGGGCTTTCGGCATAATATTTATGCTTAGCAGGAACCTCTTTGATGAAGAAACGTTCTTTCACCTTCACCCTTAAGCCCTAAAGCCAACGGGGGCCCAGAATTCCCTTCCATTTCCCTTATCGAAGCCTTATAGCCTTTATCCCTGAACCCTCGGTACTTAAAAAGAGCTGCGGACCTGTGAAACCAGGGTGTGTGCACGTGCCCAAACTGGGGTAACAGTGCTTCCTGACTGCAAAACCTACACCATAATCTAAAATACCGAACCCTTCCCCAAATTTTGGGGTCCAGAAGTCGGGTTGAAGGTTCACGGCACCTCGCGGGGATGAAAGTGGCCGAGTGCGCACAGCGTGGCAGGGGCTGCTCGCGCAGCTCCCCTGGAAGACACAGCAACGGGCTGTGGTGGCTGGTTACAAAATGCATTTGTGTTTGTTTGAGGCCTCTTATCCAAAAGAGGGTTTGTGTCAAAACGAGACCCTGTAAAAGGGAATTCCAGACGTCTTAAGTACCTTGGAAATGCTTATGGGTAGTTCTCTACATAAAGGTCTCTTTTTCGGTCCCCAATAGAGTACGGCACAATGATAAAAAGGACCCCACAAAGGTACCCTGTTTTAGAGAACTGCCCTTATGTCAATGTGGTGTTTTTGGCCGAGGTTCTGGCGTCTCAGCTGCATCCCTGAAGGCGGTAACGGCAACAGCGGCAAACACAGCCGTCGTGAGAGTAACAGAGACCCTACAAGAACAAGGTTAACAGTAATGCTATACTAATGCTTTCAAAAACTCCGAAACCTATTCTAATGTTTATGGCCCCTATATGACCCTATAGTGTCTATTGCAGCTCCCGTAAAGAAACCCTAATAGGGCTCAGGTGTGAGGCCATCAGGTTTGCGTGTGCTGTGCAGGATTTTGCAGTGAGGCCTTCGGACTTTTCGATCGGTGCTTCGAGATTTTGTTTCCGAAAATTGAACAAACCCCGGGTTTTTCTCGGATTTAATGTATTCGGACCGATACGACACAAGGACCTGCAAAAAATAGACCCACAAATTTGTGGGCGTAGTGCTTTGTTCGGCTCGGGGTTTGCCCTAAACCTTGTGAACCTGCTGGCGGGGTAAGGGGGGAAGTGCAATCTCCAAATATCCCTAAATCTCAATCTCAAACCAAAAGCTTCACGGGTTCCTGCTTTGCACGCATTCGGTGGTAGCTTTTTTTGTTGAAGCAGTAGTCGTGCGAGTGAAGCTCTTGTATAACTGTCGCGACGACGATTATTGTATTATGGCACCGGTCATGGGTATGAAAATGCTATACGTCTACGTCTAAGCTGCATATACACAGGCGTTCTGACAGGACAGACTTCAAACGCTTGACATGACGATCTGCCAAAGGATGCCTGAATCGTCCAGGTCTGGTGCTGATCCACCCTGCGGCCGACCCCACAGAATTGAAGAGGCAGCATCACCTGGGAGAAACCGCGCAAGCTTGAAAACTTAGCTTGACGACGCTTGTTGCTGCTTGTGTGGGCCTGTGAGTTTGACTGAACCAACAAAATACAATAATAATTTCCGTAGCTTACGCATAATCTTCCACCACCCACAATCCATAGCTGCCTGCTGACGAGGAAGTCTCAAGGGAATCAAACGAAGACCCTTTTCTGGACTTTCGGCGCTCATGAACACTGCGACACTCCAAGCGAGGTCATGGCTTGTGGAATTCGAGTTCTGGGTTTAGTGCGGTTTCGGGCTGCCGTGGAAAAAAAAAGCAGCACTTAATCCCAAACTGAAACCTCGAACCCGTTTTTATGCCGGCCCTAAACCCTCAATTGGCAGGCCTTCTCCTTCTTGCAGGAGGCCAATCGACCAGCTGTTGTGTTCGTGGCGATATCCACCACCGGCCCCGCCGAAGGTCATCACCTGTCATTTCTTGAGCGGGGGAGTGTTTAGGATGTCATGATGCTTCAGGATTCTATCCGGGTTTTGGATTTGTTCGGGCTTATTAAACAAGTTTGTCACAAGAAGCTCTTTGAAACAAACGTGCCGTTGTTCAGAATTGTTTGTTTCCACGAAACAACTTACATAGCTTGCATTCAAGTTACGTTGGCTTTTTGAAAAAGAAAACCATTGTCGGTGAACAGAAGGGTTCTTTTTGTTCAAACCCCAAACGGAGAGAGTCCGGAGAGAGTTTTAAAACAAACGTGCCGTGGTTCAGAATTGTTCGTTTCCACGAAACAACCTACATAGCTTGCATTCAAGTTACATTGGCTTTTCGCGGAAGAAAACCATTGTCGATGAACACGAGGCTTTTTGTTCAAACCCAAAACGGAGAGAGTTCTCTTTGTCCCAAGGGAAGATTTTCGAAACACGGTGTGGCAAAAGCATGGTTTTCATGGAAACTTCCGTTACATGTTCTGACGCTTGGCCAGAGAACTTGCCTTACGAGACATCGTGGCTGATGCCCGGGTGCGGTTCAAGCCGCTCGACTCATGACAACCGTGTGGAATCAATCCAGAACCGTCTGTCAATCACATCTACGTTCAGGCCTAAGCTGAAAACCTGTAACAGCGGACGATGAACGAACATTGTCAGCCACATGCATGGTTTCACATGTTGCAACCTTCGCCTGTTCCTTTGCTATCTGCACCCACTCCGTTCGGTTCAGTCTCTGCCTGATACAGTAGTCTGTACCTGTTTCGACCTCCACAAGGAAAAAATGCTGGAGTCTTGCAATGCACAGACGCAGGAGCCGCTCGCGGTAGACAGTTCCCCCGCACCCGTTCATTTTCCACCAAACGCACACGCGCTCCCCGCATAGTTTTCACTTGAGCGGTTTCAGTCTGGTTCAGTCAAACGAAAACACAGTCTAAAGGCATGAGAAGCTGGTAATGGCTGGAGTCGCGGGGGCTGCAAAGCCTGGTAAACCCAGGAACAACTCCTACAGTGCTACAGCACTGCAACAGCGCTTGCAAACATTAGTTTGGACGACGTTCCCAGAGTTCGACACTAGTGGATTAGTGATATCTTAAGACCCCCAAAAGCAAGTTCCACCAAGACTAGGTTCAGATAGCTTCTATATGCCCGGGAGCCCCATCCGAGCTGTGGTGCCCATGCCCTAAACCGAAATTACGCCAAATCGACCCTACGAACTCCGAACATTCTAAACTCTGAGCTGGAAGCACTATTCCTAAACCCTCAACCCTAAGCCCGCAGCCCCAAAGCCCTGCCCCCACAAAGCCCGGCACCAAAGCGCCGCCCTCGGCTTGTGGCACACCAGTGAGCCGCTGGAGTTCCCGGGCCTGAGCAATATTATCCAGAGAAGGGTTTCAGGTTTAGGGGTTAGGGGTTGAGGGGTTGAGGGGTTTAGGGGTTTAGGGTTTAGGGTTTAGGGCTTAGGGTTGAGGGTTTAGGGGTTTAGGGCTTAGGGAAAACAGGTTTAGGAATTTTTAGGGATTAGGGCTGAGGGTTTGAGGGAGGACTATCATAAGTTTTCCGCTTTTGTACAGGGTTTCGGGTTTATCCTTTCGGGATCTTCAGTGCTCTGTATAAGGCTGCAGGTCATGCGCAGCCGCAACCTGCAACTTGCGATGAACAATCTTGGGGGCACTAGCCCGCAGCATGGGAGCATGTCTTTTAACGGTTGGGCCGCGAAGCCACTGCTCAAAGCCGAGGTCTAAAGGATCCGTACTCCGAAATCAGCCGATGAGGAATGAGGATCCCGCATTACCTCAAGGCTTGAAAGCTTAGGGGTTGAATGCATGTAGGGTGTTTTAAACGTCCTAAATTCAAGGGTGCTTCGACGCCACACCCTAGGCCCTAGACAGCCTAGACCCTATAGACCCGAAGCGTTGCAGCCCTTCACCCTCAAGCCTAATATAAGGGCCTTAATGGTTAGAACAGGGTTTTGGGAACCATTAGACTGGAGATGGGGTTGAAGGTTCCAGGCCGCTGCGCATCAAGAAACGCTCTTGAAATGCATCCTTGTGTGTTTGGGGTACAGGACCAAATCTTTTTTATTAGGCTTATGCGCTGGGGCTTTAATAAACACAGTAGACAGTATAGCATAGCTATACTTCATGAGGGGACTGTAGGGGGAGATCTTTACTGACCATTCCGACCCCAATCTTACATGAGGGTCTCCGAACGCCAACTGTTCAACTGGAGGCAGGCAAGCGTGCTGGCTGTGTCATCTTGCGGACTGCGGATTTACGCCCCGAACTCTAAGGCAATCTCAACCTAAAGCCTATAAAACGTCGACCAAAGGCCCTAAACCCTTTAAACCCTAAACCCCTAAACCCCAAACCCACAGCCAAAGCCCGCGATTCAGACACGAGCCCCAGGCCGTCGCCCGGAGATGCTCAGCACTTGGAGCCTCCTCGATTTCGGCTTTGGGGTTCTATAGGGTTCTTGACACTAGGGTTTCAGCACGCACTCTCGGACATGCCTTGAGGTTTAGGGGTTTAGGGTTCAGGTTTCTATAGGGTTCTTGACATTAGGCGTACCTTGTTTAGGCACCCTTGAGTGTGTCTTATATTGTAGTCAGAGTATGTCGAGTTCTATATTGGGGCCCTTGATTCATATGGGCATGGGCTAAGGGAATTCGTTAGGTTTCGGGCTTGGGCTGCTGAATCCGGCCTTAGCCCGCACAAAGGGATTTTTAGGGAATACGCTGGGTGTCGGGTTGAGGAGGAAAGCTGTAGGATTTTCAGGACCCCTTCAAGTTGCGTCGAGCCCTCGCGCAGATGCTCCGTCATAGTACATAGGCATCTCGACCTTGAACGCGTATACTTGGGTGGTCTAACTTTTTGGTCCTCCAGCATGTAATAGGATCTCAGATAAATAATTTCGGGCCCATGGTTGGCAGCAGATATTGAAAGTTTGCCACACGCCAAAGCTTCGAGCTTATGCGAGAAGATTAGGGTCCCATCGGTTGCATGATACCAGATTCTCCTCCATGGTCCTTCTAGCCCCGAAGCGCTAGCTATCAAAAGCCTTCAAGGCATGATGCCGGCAGTTGCACTCAGCACTCCCAGCCGATCTTGAGTCCATCCCCAGAAACCCCCCCCCCCCCCCCCCNNAAACCCTAAAACCCTAAACCCCCCTCTCTGCCGGCATCCTCCCCGTACCAAAGGGGCGTCAGCGTCGAGACGCCACCCCGATGAGGCAGCTGCCCCGATTCCTGGCAGGGAGGCTTTACGAGCCCCAGAGTCGGCTTCTTCAGGGCCTGTGGTTTAGGGTTTATAGGGGTTTAGGGTTTATAGGGTTTAGAGTTTGGGGTTTAGGGTTTAGGGGATTAGGGGTTTAGGGACTTCTTGGGCTTTGAGTACAAGGGGGTTATGGTGACTGAAAAGCTTTACTTGTAGCTCACTTGCTAAGTCCTCGAAGCACTGACGGCTTATGGTTGAGGGTCGAGAAAATAGCTTAGGCTTAGTCCACATCGCTTTCATGAGAGTTGCTTCGCTACCTCTGCGTACCGAAGCCCAGTCGTCTTACACCAACTAAGGCTTTAGGGCTCAGGGTACCCTGACCCAGAGAACCCAAGACCCCTTAATTAAGGAATATACTATACCTTACATCAGAGTATAGAGGCCCCTATAATTTAAGGCTATATTCCTATTAAGGGGTATTGGGTTCTCTGGAGAAGGACCCTGAACACTGGGTTCCCTCGGGGTTTGGCGGCCTGGGGTGCCCGGAAAGCGGAAGATGTGAACGCAGGAAGGGTCTACAGGGTGTAGGGTTTGGAAGCCGAGATACCGCTGGGCACACTGTTGGCATATATGCCCTACTTTGCTAATTACAAGTCTAATGTGCTTTCATGTTTGGGCCCCCGCCAGAATATTTACACCACAGATTCGTGACAGCTTTTGGATGCTTCTTCTTCTAAACCCCTCAACCCTAAATACTCTGCTGAATTTCGGGCGTGCGCCTGCGAGCGGGCAAAGCGCCACGGCTCTGCGTCCTCGCGCTTCGCAGCTCATGGGGAGCTTTTTCGTAACTGCTGTATTTACTTTAAGGGAAATCCGGGGTCACAACTACCTTATACCGAAACCTTCTTACTAAATCCGAGTACGATCATGTTGTACTACAGTTACCACTAATATCACTGGGCCATTGTTACTATCATGCGACGGTTGTAGTATCATTGCTTCTACAAGCCTTCCATACTGCACGCAGGACCATAATAAGGGTTTCTTTCTTGTCGTGCAGGGCCTTCATGGGCTAGGGGTCGATTCTAAGTCTATGTAGAACTCTACGCGGACGATATGGGGTACTATCACCAATATATTCAGATTTATACTTTTAGATCATAAAGGTGCTAGTGTATGGCTACGTCTTCGGCCCTCTTATCTGGCACAGGCGAGGCCCTGGAAAAAAATTGAAGTTGCGATCGCCATTCACGGTTTTGGCATCCTGTGAGCACATGACATGCAAACACCTATTTGTACCACCCCACTTATTGGGTGCCCACAGTGACAAAGATGCCCTACCACATTAAGGACCTACTTTCTAAACCGCAGTGGCCGTCGACCCCAGACCCCCAGAAGCCAAATCCCTAAGCCTGACCTGGACCTACCTTTTCAAGGACTCATATAAGGAAATCATAATAGGGAACCCTAAAAAGGTAGGTTTCTTCGGGTCCAGGAAAGCCGTATACCCTTTTGAGAAGGCCCGTTTGATCCCTTCCTCGCCACGCTGGGCCGAGGTCGTAACGGTCTGGAGCGGAACGGAATGCAAGTCCGTCTGGGGTCCTGGATACCAGACGGGCCTTAGGGTTAATCAAGCCGGTTTTGCCCAGGGTGTTCCTGGGGTTTAGGGCTTGTAGGGCCAGACTAGCGTAAACCCTAAACCCTAAACCCCTAAAGCCCTAAACCCTAAACCACTAAACCCCTAACCCCGAAACCCAACGATAATGGGAC